CCGAGAGGAGAAGGGATTGCGGCGTGACCATCCCCCCTGGGGGGTGATTTCTCGCTTTCTGTCTCTGTCTCTCTCTGTCTGTCTGGCAAGTGCACACACGCCCTATAGCAAAAACCTCTCCCAAAAAAAAGAAAAAAAAGAGTTCTAGTCTCAGGACCAGCAGTTAGTATAATGGCTATGTCGCCAGACTCCCACGTAGTCGACCGCGGTTCGAGTCCCAGACCCGGTGACTTAAACTCACGCCAGGCGCTTGTGCGTGCGTGCCCAAGATCCTGAGAGGAGAATGGAAGAGAAGGGATTGTGGTGTGACCATCCCCCCTGGGGGTGATTTCTCGCTTTCTATCTCTCTGTCTGTCTCTGTCTGTCTGGTGAGCGCGCACACGCCCTATAGCAAAAACCTCTCCAAAACAAAAAAAAAGAGTTCTAGTCTCAGAACCTTTCTACATTTGAAAATTACTAGAGGCCTCAAAGAGCTGTTGTTTTTGCGGATTATAGCTATTGATATTTACCACCTTAGAAACTAAAACTAAGTTTTGTATTAACGTAGAGAATACATTTTAATGAAAATTTACTCTATTTTCCAAAACAAAATTCAGGCATTGTACATTTTTCAGTTCTCTTCCATACTGGCTTAAAACACAGATGGACTCTCATCTGCATTTGACTTGCTGTGTTACCACGTCATGTCACCTTCGGAGAAGTCCATTTACACTCAGCGAGAGAACGAGGGGAAAGAGCCATACGATCTTAGCATTATCATAGAAGTGGTTTTAACTGGGACCTATCGAAAGGATCAGGTCCCCAGACTGCACTGTGAGAACACCTCCATTCTCACTTGTCCCCAAGATACTAAAAGCACTCCTGGCCCAGGGCACCCTTTCTGCTAGTATTGCAGGGTAGACTCTTTTTTTTCTTTCTGATTCTAACCAACTTTTCTGTCTTGCACACCCTCACTCACCCTCCCACCACTGCATCTCCTTCTCTTCTTCCTCCCGATCCTGGTGTCTAAAGGTAAGACTGCCCCGCACTGAACCTGGGCAGCACTGAGAGGACAGCTTTGCATGGACAGCTCTGTCAGGGGGCCAGACCTGCTGCTCACATTACCTCACAGAGGGGAAGCCCCATAAAAGGTCCCTGCCTCCTGTCCTTCCTCTGTGCGGCAGCCCCTTCTAGAGTTGGAGCACCATATCTTCCTGAGATGTGGGCAGGGGCCTACCTGGAGGCTTCTCAGTCACCACCCTTTGCCTGTGGTGGGGTCCATATTGTTGGCACCATCACCGGCTGTCATCACCGTGGACGCAGCAGGGCTGAGCCACCACACGGACTGGGACACGCAACACCAGGCTCCTCCATACGTGAACTCACTGCTTCTGTTTCAGACACTTTTAGGTCTACTCTGTGGAGGGAGAAAATCCTTTAGTTCTTGCACAGTCCAGCCCTACCAGGGCATGGGCTGGCTCTGGAGAAGCCCGTGAAGCCATCACAAAGCTCAGCTCGTCACAGACTCCTGACAGACATTTCTGGATGATCTTTGCAGGGCTGAGAGCTCTTTTCCCCACACTCACCTTTGCTTCCATCCCCAATGCTGTGCCCTTCACTCACCAGCTAGAGCACTTCCCTGTCAGCCTCTGCTCTTATGGGTCCCACCCTTCTACCCGCTTGGTTCAGGCCACACAGCTCTCCCTCTGCCCACAGCAGTCATTCCTGTTCTGTGCTGTGTAATTGGTATTCTTCCCTAAGTCCTCGGGACAGCAAACAACCTTGCTGTGTATCTCTAAGTGTGCTGTCTCTTGCCTGTAACACATGACAAGCACCGTTTTAAGCTAGAATCGGTTAGGTTGTTGGGAAAGTCTTGGTGTGTTTTTTTATGCAAAAATGCATCTGGACTTTCTCAACAACCCAGTAGTTGCCAAGAAATCCCTCTGACTGCTTCTTTTCTTTCCAGGTCACTGCTGGGCTGCCTCTTCCCAAGGATTATACAGAGGAGGTAATTTGGATCATTTCTAATTATTTGTCCTAGAAAGCATCACACCCTGAGCCAGCATTTCTCTACCTGGCCCGTGGGGAAAGTAGTGGGTTACTGCTGTGACCCCAGGGCTGCTTTTAGGAGCTGGAGATGCTGAAGGGGATGCTGTTAAGTATCCTACCGTGCACATTCTATGGTCCCCTACAGCAAAGAATTAGGCACTGAAAATGTCATCAGTGCTGAGGCCACACCCCGCCCCGAGACTAGTGGAAGAGTCCTTCTGTTGTCTTCCTGTATCAGCTGGGGATGAGTCCCCAGTGTCATTCAAAGACAAGTAGGGACCTTTTTGGAAAGGCCTTTTATAATGCAGGTTTAAATCCAAGGGTCAGCATTGTAGCTATTTCTCTAGACAAAGACTTCCCTCTCGGTTTGGCTTAGAGCATCAAGCAAGAGCCTCAAGAACAATAGTGAGCCCAACCCTTTTCTCATTTACCCTCAAAGAAACATCTCTAGAGCCAATCTGGGAGGGTGCCATGAGAGACAGGCTAAGATGCAAGGTCAGCTGCTGTCACTGCTAATTCCATTTTTCTGCCCTTTTTTGAGACTTTTAAATTCTCAAGCAATACAGGGTTGCTGTTCAGGCCCCAAATGAAGTATTTCAAAATTAGCTAGGAAAAAAAATGGTGCCTTGAGTCTGCCTATCTTCTTAGTTATGATTTGCCTTTTATGGTCTGTGTGTGATTCACGCGTAGGAGGGGAATTCACAGTTCTGGCCCTCCTGCTACCCCACAGCCTTTCCTGTGTCTAATTACAGTGACTGCCCCTAACCGGCCCAGCTGGCGTCTTCATTTAAGAAATTCTACATTTTTAAAACTGTTCTCAATCAGTCTTACATATTAATTGGCTCTCCCATGACTAGAGGTGGAGAATTAACTGTGTTCTCCAGAAAATCAAATGCATCCTAATTTCCGTTTTTAACTTTTAAAGGGCAAAAAAAGAAGCATAAGTCACATTTATAGTGATCTTAGTTGCTATCTCCGTTTAACTTCAACCAATTGTTTCCTGATGTTTTTGGGATCTTCCAGCCAATTACTGCTACTGCTGTGTTTTGCTCATAGTCTCATATAGACATTTTTATAGGACACTATTTTTATTATTAAAATACTTAATATATTTGTTTATTTAATTTTGTTATTATTTGTTTAATTTGATGAGAGGAAAGAGAGAGAAAGTGAGAGAGCAAGCTGCCAGGTCCGACACTCAAACCATGGTCAGCCATGTGGGAGTCCAGCATCTTAACCACCTCGCCACCTGCCAGCCCCCCCTCAATACTTAACGTATGTTTAATCTTGTAGTAGCACAACATATCTTTTGTCAAAAATATATTAAACATTACAAGAATGTAATATATGTTACTTGAGTTTCCTTAATAGTTTGATGCATATTTCTCAACATTTTTTAAAAACTTCATGAATAATACACATGTGTTTTTGTGTCTGTCCAAAATTGGAATGAATTAAGCACTCTATAGTTTTGCAACTTTAGTACGTCTTGGACAGGTTCCATGTTAACACAGATTGGTCTCTTTTCATAACATCTGCATGATAAATATTTACTGAGCACATAAAATTCATTGGCCCAGAACTCTATCGAAGGAGCTTTGTGTTTGCAGTTTTTTAATGCTGCAATAAACATAGTAAAAGGTATGTTTCCTTAATTGCTTCTCTTAGATTTCATAATATTTGGTTCTTTTTTTTCAATTGCCAGAAGAGTGCTTGCACTCCCCAAAGAGAGACAGAAAGGGAGAGGGAAAAAGCACCCCCAGATGGATTGTAGTCATGCCACAATTCCTTCTCCTCCATTTCTCCACCGTGTCAGGATTTGGGGCACACCGCTATACAACTGCATGTTTCTCAAGCCACTCAAGCCAAGATTTGAACTGTTAGTTAGCCATGTGGGATCTAGCTCCCCTAACTACTAGGCAGTGGGGCCAGCCCAGTATTTGGTTCTGAAAGATTGTATTTATCTTGGGACCAGCAAATGGCGTAGTGGTTAAGGTGCTGGGCTCCCCCACATGACTGTCCATGGTTCAAGTCTCAGATCTGGCAGCTTGAAAATCACACCAGGCACGTGAGTGTATGTGCATGCCCCAAATCCCGAGAGGCAGGATTGCAGTGTGGCCACCCCCCTGGGTGGTGATTTCTCAGTTTCCCTCCCTGAATCTCTGTCTCCTTTCTGGTGAGTGTACATACTCTGTGACAAAAACCTAAAACGAACAAGACAAAACAAAACAAAACCCACAAAGATAGCACTTATCTCATTTGTTGGCCCTAATGAATTGTTCATGGTTGAGTTCATTACTACCTTTGACAGTATCACTACTTACTTCGTGCTTTCCGAAGGGGTTTATGGCAGTTGTATAACGAGTGCCTCGTTTGTACTGGCCACTTCTGCTAGGCTGTCTTCTGATGGACTGGTCTGTGCTGTACTGTGTAGACTCAGTTTGTGTCACTGAACCATATCAGCACATGGAATCTATAAACACAAAGGTCATAAATGTAATTTCAGGAGGAGCAATGAATCCCCTTCAAACAGATGAACTATTAAGATAAGCAGAGAGACAGCAAGTCCATCAGCTCTCATGTTTTCAAAGTGGCTGGAAGTACGCAGAGTTCAGTTCCGCTGGAGGGAGCCGAAGCTGCCATCCACTGCAGCGTCTGCTCCCCATGTGTGGGGGAAGCTTCAGTGGACCCCTTTTATTTGTTAGCTTGCCTCCTTGTCCTGACAGCAAGTGGCTACCAACCCAAGGAGGCAGCTTCCCTTTTTAAGAAGAACCTCATCTGTTTTCAGCTCAGTTCTCTCCAGCCTCACAGACCTTCCACTGCTGTTTTTTTTTTTTTTTTACAGAACCTGGAGCTGGTTGAAAAAGGCTTCAGTAACTTGAAAAAGCAAATAGAAAATGCCAGAATGTTTGGAGTTCCAGTCGTAGTGGCCGTGAATGCATTCAAGTGAGTGCAGAGCGTAAGAGAAAAGAGGGGTTTGAGAAATGGTCAGAAGACACTTCCTGGAGCTGATGGTACAGTGGTGCTTGTAGCTGTTTGTTCTTTGGGGATTGCCATCAGTGGTGGCCAGCGGCTTAGCCTGTGGTACGACAGTCACTGTGTTCATCACAGTGGCTTTGCCACCTCTCCCCTTGGGGTCCATGGTTCCCTTCTACTCTACTGGGTAAAGTGGAGAACACACGGACCTGAAGTTATTGTACTGTTTTGGTCTTTAGAGACCTTCTGTTAGCACAAAAGGTCATAGGCCTCCTTATGCCATTATTTTCCGAGGTCTGGTGGGATGTTGTCTTGACAGAGTTGAACATACTGATCTGGAAGTGCTCGTGTGAGAACTTGAGTGGGTTGTTTAGGTATTGTACTACTGGTACGGGTTTTATTTGGCTTCACCACAGTGAATGGGAAGCAAAATCTTTCAAAGCTGCTATGTATTGATTCCTTATGGTGTACTGGGAATGTTCCAAGTACTTTACATGTGTTTACTAGCTAAGCCTCATGATATCCCAGTGAGATAAATGTTATGATGATTCCTATTTTACCCATGTGGATATCAAGACACATAAAGATGAGGTAACTGAGCCAGCAGTTGGCATGGTCATTAAGGTACTGGATTCCCACATGGCCAACTGTGGTTCGAGTCCTGGTCCCAGCGGCTTGAAAATCATGCCAGGTATGTGTGTGCACATGCCCAAAATCCCAAGAGGAGAATGGAGGAGAAATCAAGGCACATAAAGATGAAGTAACTGGGCCAGCTGTTGGTATGGTCGTTAGGCACTGGATTCCCACATGGCCAACTATGATTCGAGTCCTGGTCCCAGTGGCTTGAAAATCATGCCAGGTGTGTGTGTACACATACTCAAAATCCTGAGAGGAGAACAGAGGAGAAGAGATTGCAGTGTGGTCTTCTCCCCTGGGGGGTGACTTCTCACTTTCCCTGTCTCTGTCTCTGGTGAGTACACAAATGAAATAACTGACCAAAAGTCACTTGGTTGTAGAGCTGAGATTCAAACCCAGGCAGTATGGCTTGACTAGTGTCCAGTTTAGCAATGGGACAATTCATATGAGTTTTAACGGCAGAAAGAAGACAGATGCTGTCTCCCCCAGCCATTTTCCATGCTTTAACACATAGCACTGCCTTTACAGGACAGACACAGAGGCCGAGTTGGACCTCGTCAATCGCCTTGCCAAAGAACACGGGGCCTTTGATGCTGTGAAGTGTACTCACTGGGCAGAAGGGGGCAAGGGCGCTGTAGCCCTGGCTCAGGCGGTCCAGAGAGCAGCTGAGGCACCCAGCAGCTTTCAGCTCCTTTATGATCTCAAGGTGGGTTCCTTGCTATATTAAAAAATCAACAACGACAACAACAAAGGCACACAGAAGTTTGTGTGTGGCTGCCTCTAGAGCCCCACTTTTAGCAGCTTCGGCCTTGTGGTTTGATTCCTTTGTCAGTGAGTTGCAACCGCAGCCTAGACCTCAGCTCTAGAAAGCTTTCTCGTTAACATGTGCTGCTGCTTACTTAGAGTGGGGGGGGGTAACTGGGGGGTTGGTTCACAGCCCAGACTCCCTGGGGGTGGGGGGGGTCGGTTCACATCGTAACTTGTGCAAAGGCTCACGGTACATACAGGTCTTTTTGCCTGTAGAAGAGAAGGTTGCCCACGGAACCAAGTGTGTCGTTCACTGTCGCCTTTAACCCAAGGCACCTGCTATGTTGGAGCACAGTGGCAAAAGCTACATCAAGCTTACAGAATGTTTCTGCCTGCATCTTAGTGATAGGGGCAAGAAGTGTGCTCCCAAGCTCACTTCCTGGAACGGTGCTGCCTCAAGTTCAGAGAAGCCCTCGGGTAAAACCAAAGTACCTGGCAGGCTTTATCATTTTCCATCACTGAGTAAATTAAATTGCATCTGGCCTAATCAGAAGCATTGCTTATTCTATGATACAATGAAGTCAGTTTAGAGAAGGGTTGTTCTTATGAAAGGCTTGTATTTTATTTTCAGTTTTCTGTTCTGTGTATTTCACGATGTGATTGGACATAAGAATAGTATGTTCCACGGAAGCTTTGTTAGGAAAAAGGGGTGAATACTGTAGTTCATTCTGCTTGTATTCCTTTTTTTTTTTTTTTAAAGAATTATTTTATTCATTCATTCATTCACTCACATGAATTTGCCAGAGAAGATAGAGAGAATGCCTCCAGTTCTAAGACTTGAACTGTGGTCAGCCATGTGGGAAGGCCAGCTCCTCAAACAATGCCACGTGCTGGCCCTTAGCTTGTATTCTTGAGGCTAGTTTTTGGATCGAGTTTGAAAACATAACCATAGACTTTCAAAAATAGTCATAAACATGTTAAAGGAAGAAACCCTATTACTCTTGAGTTTAATGTTCTCTTTGCCCCTTGCAGATTTAATATACTGACAGTTAATTAACATTTTCCTATTGACATTCTCCTGTGCAGCTTTGGCTTTATGGACTGGCTTAAAAATCTGTTCAGTCAATTATCTTTTTACAAAATGCCATTAGCACGAATTTGCATACAAATGCAAAGGATTTATAGGCTCTCCAAGTCCCCATCACAGCACCTAAGTCAGGAACTCTAGTCCTTCAAGGCCAGGAAGGAGACCTGGGAGAAATGGGGTAATGAGGACTTTATAAGCCATTTCTTCTTGGAACTTTCCTCTGCCCTGACAAACAGGAGGCTGCTGCTTTTGTCTTGCTCGGCATCTGCTAGTCTTAAATACCCCTCAACCCAAGTGCTTTTCCTTAGGAAGTTCTGAATGTGCCGTGGCATTTACAGAACTCCAGTTACAAGATGCATGTGAAAGTATCTGGGTTGCATCTTTATAAAGCTCATTGTTGAATATTCACTTTATTCTTGCCCATTATACAAATCTTCATAAATCGTACCTGTTTACTACAAAGGGAATTTTAATTTTCCTACAGACTGTTTGTTGTTCCTTTCAAAAAAACAAAACATCCCAGCATATCCTTTTAGCTTTAGTTCTTAAGGAGTACAGAGCCTGGTATTTTGCCTAATGTTAGTCATTTCTTATCCAGATATCTTGGGAGTAGCTTTCCTTCCCATTTCCTTTACGCACTGTCTGTCTGGGGGTGTATGTGTATGTGTGCGTGTACACGCGTGTGTGCTTTGTGTGTGCTCTTAGTGCCCTAAACTAGACCAGCAGCATTTATTAAGCTGGGCTCTGCTCTGAAGCTTTGCCCTGGAGGAAACATCCCATGCACTGGCGCTCTGGCTTGAAACCTGGTGACTTGGAAATCATCCTGGGCACCAGCCTTCTGCCTCTGTCCAAGGCCACGGAAGGTGCATCTTTCACAGCATGGTGTGTTGGTCATATTTGACATGGGGTTGTTTTTTAATGCCTCGGTGGTTTTATTTTCATGACTGTTCCCAAGTCACAGCAACTAACAATCAATATGGTGCGTGAAAAGTAGTATCTGCCTCTCATATACAAGCCAGGGATGATGTGGGTGGACATTGATTGTCTTATTTCATAAACAGCATCCCAGGTCTGATCTGACAAGACTGATCGCTAGTTTTAAAACATTCCTCTTACTTATGAAGAAATAGTTATTCTTGGGCATTTAGCAATATTGTTTATGACTTACCCAATGATTTTGAAATTTGTTTATATTTATTTATGGAAGTATATTTGATATTTTATTATTTTTATCCATATATATGTATATATATGTGTGTATATATATATATATATATATATATTTAAATCTTCTGTTTTTGGGGGGACTCTGGCCTAGAATATGGCCGTGCCCTCACACATATCCAGTCATGATGTCCCTCTCTCTTTTTTGTGGATTAGCTCCCAGTTGAGGATAAAATCAGGATCATTGCGCAGAAGGTCTATGGGGCAGATGACATTGAATTGCTCCCCGAAGCTCAACACAAAGCCGAAGTCTACACCAAGCAGGTAGATGTTTGGTTAGTTTCTTCTTAGATCTCTCTCCACAAAGCAGGCCTTGGAATGAGAATCCTGCTTCCTTACCTCTGGCTGGCCGCCCTTTCTCCTCGGGAATACTAGCTTTGGATTCGATGATCCTATCCCAAGTTCTTTTTTTTTGGGGGGGGGGTGAAGGTTTTTGCTATAGGGTATGTGTGCTTGCCAGAAAGACAGAGAGATAGAAAGCGAGAAGTCACCCCCCAGGGGGATGGCCACACCATAATCCCTTCTCCTCCATTCTCCTCTTGGGATCTTGGGCACGCACGCACATGTGCCCAGCATGAGTTTAAGCCACCGGGTCCAGGACTTGAATTGCAGTTGACTGTATGGGAGTCCAGCGACATAGCCATTATGCTAACTGCTGGTCCCCTATCCTGTCCCAAGTTCTATATTTACCCACAGTTGGGTATGAGTGTGTAGAATGGCTATGAGGAAGTATGGACTGTCTTACTAAAATACTGAGATCTGGGACCAGCAGGTGGCATGATGGGTAAGGTGGCTGGATCCTCACATTACAGACGACTATTCGGGTCCCAAACCTAGTGGCTTGAAAAGCATTCTGGGCACGTGTGCACACATTGCCCAAGATCTCATTGAGAATAGAGGAGCTGCGGCATTATTCACGATTGCTAAGACAGGGAACCAACCCAGATGTCCACAACCAGATGAATGGATTGAAAAAGTGTGGCACATATATTCCATGGAATACTATTCAGCCATAAAAAGCAAGCCCCTGGCATTGGTAGAAAGTGGGCGAATATGGAAGATTTATTACTGAGTGAAACAAGTCAGGCTATGAAACAGAGATATTGTATGTCTCCACATACACTATGCCTGCACTCTATGGTAGACTGAAAGACTGGAGGACATAAAAGCATTGAAAATTGTTATGGACACTAGGGACAAAGTGGAAGGGGAGAGGGCAGGAAAGGAAATTGGGAAAAATAGAGGTAAGACATTTGTGGGACATAGATACGGTTTATTACCTGTTAATGATGATGTGTATAGTGTACTCTCAATGGAGCTGGACTAAGGGGTAAAGTCTCTTTACAATCTAAATGATGTATAGCGATTGAATATATAAATAATAATAATGATAATAATAACTTAAAAGATTTAAAAAACAACAACAACCAAAAAAAGAGAGAGAATAGAGGAGGGGGGTAATTTCTCACTTTCACTCTCTCTGTATCTCTCTGTTTCTTCCTCTGGTGAGTACATGTGCCCTATAGCAAAAGCCTTAAAAAAATTGAGATCCTTTTCATATTTATTTTTGTCTGCTCCATATTTTTAAAAGTTATATTTATTATTATTATTTTAATTTTCTATAGGACACATATGCTTATGAGAGAGAGAGAGAAAGTGAGAAAGCAAGCCACAAGGTCTGGGACTTGAACTGTGGTCAGTCATGTAGGAGTCCAGTGCCTTAACTACCATGCCACCTGCTGGCCCCTACTCCATTTTTCTTTTTAAGTTTGTTTAATTATTCCCTGAGAGAGAGATAAACGGGCATTCCCCAACAATCTTCATGCTGCAATCCACCCCCTGCCTCAGCCAGCCTGGACCGTTGGTATGTGCACCCTGTGTTGTGTGCAAACAGGGAGGTCTAGGGACATGAACTCAGGACCTTCACATGTAAATTCGGCATCTCAGACCTGTGCTGTGCCACCATCTGGTCCGTCAGTCTCTTGTTTTTAATTGGTTACATGGATGGAAATAAGAGTCACTTGCAGAATATAGCTGGAAGTACTTACCTCCCTTACCCAGCAGAGCTTTGTTTGTTTTGTTTTGGTGTCTAATGCCTAAGCCGGAGGACAGTGAGGTAAAGGTGGGTGTAAAGGGAATTAGACATTTCAAATCATCACAGCTCATATATTCTTTGTTGTGTGGTCAGCTTTTCATTTGTCCTACCTCTATTCTTTCCCCAGGGCTTTGGTAATCTACCCATTTGCATGGCCAAGACACACTTGTCCTTGTCTCACAACCCAGAGCAAAAAGGCGTTCCTACAGGCTTCGTTCTGCCCATTCGTGACATCCGTGCTAGCGTTGGGGCTGGATTTCTGTACCCCTTGGTGGGAACGGTAAGTGCTGCAGAGGAGAGCTTGTTCACTTGTGCTTCTCATCGTAAGTGTATTGCCAGAGCTATCAACAACTGCCAGGTGAGTTCACTGCCGAGGAGAAAGCTGAAGTTGGGCCTATGGTGATTTCTTTAAAAATTATTTTATCTTTATTTACTTATTTAATTTGACCAGAGAGGGACAGAGAAAGAGAGAGGAAAGTGAGAAAGCAAGCCAGCAGGTCTGAGACTGGAACCATGGTCGACCATATGGGAGTCCAGCACCCTTAACCACCACACCACCTGCCAGCCCTGGGCCTATGTGATTAATGGCCTGTTATGACTCTGCTGTGGACCATCCTGGTGTCAGTTCAAGTATGATGCCATGACTCTTTCTCCCAAATAAAAAATTCCATTGGGACCAGCAGTTAGTGTAATGGCTATGTCGCTGGACTCCCACGTAGTCAACCACGGTTCGAGTCCTGGACCCAGTGGCTTAAACTCACGCCAGGCACGTGTGCGTGTGTGTCCAAGATCCTGTGAGGAGAATGGAGGAGAAGGGATTGCAGCGTGGCCATCCCCCCTGGGGGGGTGATTTCTCGCTTTCTGTCTCTCTCTCTCTCTGTCTGTCTGGCGAGCGCACACACCCTATAGCAAAGAAAAAACTCTCCAAAAAGAAAAAAATTCTGTTTCCAGGGCCAGCCAGTAGCGTGGTGTTTAAGGTGGCTAGATTCCCCCAGGGCTAATAACTGTGCAGTTTGGGTCCCAGACTCAGTGACCTGAAGGACATGCCAGGCACGTGTCTGTACATGCTCAAATTCCTGAAAAGACAGTGGAGGAGAAGGATTGCAACATGGTCATCGTTCTCTCTTGTCTTTCTCTGTCCATCTCCTTTGGGCACGTCTGCCCTGTTGCAAAATTAAAAACAACAACAATAAAAACAAGCAAAAAACTCAAAACACCAAATACTCTGTTTCCCAGGGGCAGTATGCCCCTGACTGAATCCAAGATGGGCCTAATTGATAGGCTGGGGTAAGGCTGATACATGATCACAACTAATGTTTGTTGGGCATCTTACACAGATTAATTCAGTCTGACCAAAAGCTGTGGGAGATTGGGACAGTACACCTTCGGGGTCTTGTGGACAGGCTTAGAGCTTATGCCTGAATTTCCCTATTCAAATGAGAGTGAACCGTATAGATATGAAAGATAAAGTGGCTTATTTGCAATTCAAGGTGAATGCTTTTTATTTTATTTTATTTTTTTGCCAGGATATGTATGTACTGGCACAGTGAGACAGAAATAGAGGGAGATGGAGAAAGCTCCCCCCAATGGAGCATGGTCATGCCACAATCCCTTCTTTATTTCTCCCTCCCTTGGAATTTGGGGCACACGTGCACATGTGCCTAGCATGTTTTTCAAGCAGCTGGGGCCGAGATTTGACTCGTGCTGTCAATCATGTGGGATCTGGCTTCCTTAATCACTAGGTCACGGGGCTGGCCCTGTCTAATTCTTACTTGTGAATTTTATGTACATTAAGGGAGAAAAAGTGCTTATAGGGAAGTGAAGGGCTGCTTAAGGATGTGGTTTGGGCTAACATTGTCTTGAGGATAACACTGATCCTGTGCCTAGGTTTTCCCCGTAGATCTGCCCAATGTCCTTTATCTGCAGATGGTACTTACGTGCAATATGGGATTGTGTGATACTGAGTTGAAATACCCGGTTGAAACAGATCCCACCTTTTTAGGCAATGTCGGGTTCATATACACAGTCTTCAGAAAGTTCACGGGAAATGTATATTATGAAGAAAAACTGTGTGTGCATTTCCAAAGTGTTTTTGTACCATAAGAATTTGGAAATTGATTTCACTTTTCCACAATTTTTTTAGAATATCCTCGTATGATGGTGGAACAATAGCCTAAGTATGTTTTGAGTTGTCAGAAAAACCATGACACATTTTTACATACTAAAACAGAAAAAATATGTCATGACTTTTCCAACAACCCAGTAGTAGGCTGTGCCATCCAGGAGTGAGTGTACTTTATGATGTTCACGCAGTGCCATAACCACCTAATGATGCATTTCTGAGAACACGTCCTTGTTAGACTAAACCAACATGCTATGAAAAAGAGCCCAGCAGATCTCCTTTGGGAGCAATGCCATTTTTTAGTATGGTAAGAAAATGGTGGAGGTGGTATACAGTTGGAAGGGCCGGGCTTTAGAGTCGCAGCCAGTTTTACCTCTGTTGGTGTTGAAGTTTTGAAAGGTGTGGGTCTGCTGCCCTCAACTCACATTGTCACAACAGTAGAGTCAACACAAGTGCCAACAACCAGTGCCCTCTCAGCCCCTCTGCTACCAGCAGGCTTGGCCATGCCATGGTGTTCCTCAGTCTCTGCAGCTTGTAGACCTCCCTATTTATTTATTAAGAGGTTTTTGCCTTAGGGTATGTCTGCTCTCAGGGGGTGGGGGAAGGAGGGAGGGAAGGGGGGAAAGAAGGGAGGGATTTAGAGAAGGAGGGAGAGGAAAAGTGAGAAGTCACCTCCCAGGGGGCATGGCCCTGCTGCAGTCCCTTTTCTTCCATTCTTCTGAGGTCCTGGGCACACACACACACATGCCCAGTGTGAATTTCAAGTCACCGGGTCTAGGATTCTAACCATGATCAGCCATGTGGTGAGAGTAACTTCTTTGCTGTCTGTTGGCCTCAAAATCCCCTTTTAATGTGCGTGGCAGAATTCTGTGATGCAGACTCAGTATCTACCCGCTGAAAGTGGTAGCTACACTCTGTACTGTCTCTTTGGAGGTTTGTGTGCAGGGGGTAACTTACTACAGAGATGAGAGCAAATCTGAAAGTGGTCAGGCCAGTAGGAGTCTGCCTATAGTTTGAAGAGAGACAGCTGGCTCCGCCCAAGGCTTTCTCATTTAGAACGAAGTACTGGGTCGAGGTCTTCAACTTTAACTTGGACCAAGACTTTACACAGATAATCAAAATGGCTTAGGCACTATTCTGACATCTTCTGGTGCTGTTGCCTCAATGAGGCTCAGAGCAAGACTCAGAGCATTTGAGTTTTTTTAGTTTTTTAATTTCCAAGAGGGCACATGAGCTCACCAAAGAGAGAGAGAGAGAGAAAGAGAGAGAGAGAAATAGTGAAAGTGAGAAAACACCTTGGTCTCACTGCAGTCCTTTTTCTTCTATTTCTATCCCTGTCATGATTTGGGGCATGCACACACATGCACTTGGTGTGTTTATCAAGCCATCAGGTCCAGGACTTGAACTGTGTAGTCAGCCATGTGGAATCCAGCTGCCTTAACCACCCTGATTTGAGCACTTTATATATTAATTCAAAGTGTGGTAGTTTCTTTTCAGTTTTATGTGGAAGTTCATGTGTGTATACACAGAATCGTTTTCTTTGCTTTTTTTTTTTTTTGGTATCAATGACAAATGTTTTGTAGG